CCCTCTTGGGGGCACAGTGGTCGCTTGGAGCAACCCCTCTGTGCAACACAAGATCAGGCACCCAGCCACTTGCACTGTTTGGGCTCAGCACTTTGGGAACAGCTGAGAAAATTCTAATTCTCTACAACTTGCACAACAACAACATAGTCCCAGACCTGTTACATGGTTAATTGTGTCCTGTCCAGAAGAGGGATACCAGATGGATCAAAGTTACCCTAGGTAAGGTGAGCTGATCTAAAACTTGGTCTCAGCAGGGCCTTCTCTTCCACTTGCTTTTGTTTTCTTACTGACCCCAAACATTTTTCGCATCTCTTCCCAACGTGGTGTTATTGCTGGACAGAGCAGGGAGAAGAAAGGAGATACTCAGTAGACTTGGCAGCACCAAGACAACCACACTGGGAGGGCTCCAAGCATTCCCCAGACACCCTCGGCAGGCTGCTACCGCCCAGAAGGCAGTGACAGGTTTCCCCAGAGGTGTTACCTACTGTTCATGCTGCTTTCTACTTCCCACTAAGATCAGCACCCAACATCCTCCCTCAGCTCCTTGAAATTTTGCCCAGGAATCTTCTCTGCTAAAAGCATCATCTGCACTGGGACAGGCTGGCCCTGGCATGGAAGGTACTTGCTAACAAGCCTCAAGACTGCAGCCAATACGCCAGGGACTCCCATGGCTGTAAGAGCAGAGCTTGGCATCTCCTCTTGCTGGGCAGCCACAACCTTGCCCATCCCCTTCCCACCTCATAGCACCATCGTCTGCACTGGGCAGAGAACAGATCAGAGGGGAGTAAATTTGGGGTAGAGAGACACAAACAGCATCGCCTCCTGGAAGACAAGCGTGGAGCTGTGGCTAGCTCTGGAGAGTAAAGCCACTGTGCTGAGTCATGGATGAAAGCTCCAGAGAGATGCTGGGAGGCTGCCACCCTGTCCAGAGTCCTTCAACACAAACAGGAAAGACACGGGGAGCAGCTGCACAGCTCATCCCACTCCTAGATGGGAATGACAACTTGCATGTGTTTTGGCAGAGCAGCTGCTCAGCAAGGCACCCTGGACAGACTGCTCACCCTGGCGGCACTGAGGGTGCTCCCTGGCTGATGGCCAAAGCTGGTAGGAGCTCTGCTGCCAGAAGAAACTCTGGATTGTGAAGGCAGCAGGGGGAGGGAAGCCAGCCTGGCCCAGCTGCTGCTCCCACCCTCCTTGCCCACCACTAGCTCACCTTGGCCTTGTTCTGGACAGGCAGATACAGCTTGAACTCAGCGGGGAGCTCGTCCTCTGAGTAGAGCCGGTCAGAGAAATACACCCGTCGGATGCGACAGTTGGCGTGGATCTGAGAGTCAAAACAAAGAGTCAGTCCATTTTCCATATGCTCTTCCCACATCCAGCTTCACTGTCACGCAGCAGCCTGGATTCCTTGGCTCAGCAGCTGGCGAAGAGACCTCATTGCCCCTCTCCGAATCTGACAGGGCATCAGAGAAGAAACACTGGCCCATGCCCTCTGCTTTGCGTTAGATGCTCTCTCCAGCGATGCAAGCTGGCTCAAGAGATTTGGCCAAGCTCTGGCATCTCTGCAAATTAAGATCTGCCTTAGTTGCTTAGAAGGTTCTTTGCTGTGAACCCACCTCTGCTTCTCCACTGGTACCCGCATTTGCTAGATCACTCTCAGCCTCAGCTTGCTGCATTTTTCACGCTCCCTCTTCAGGGCCTCCCTAAAGTCAGGGATGAGACCATCCAGTCTGCACCACCTCCGCTATCAGCTGGCAGCGAAGGAGTCGCTCCAGTCCCCCTCATGAGTATGGGAGAAGGCAGACATTTCCCAGCTGACTGCCTGCTCATCTCAGGGCAACCCCACAAGGCACTGCAGCTGTCCCATCACACTAAGGAACAAGTGTGCTCCGCACACAAGCATTCCTCAAAATAACGCGTGCCACTGGACACCGCCAACGTGAATCCCTAGCACAGGGGACAAGTTTCACGTCCTCAGGGGGAACAAACACTATGTCACCTCTGGTCCAAGGGGCTTGGTGAAGGCAGGGTCACTCCACCTGCACTAGGAAACAAGCTTGACTGGGAATATGTACAGACCATAATACCCTGGGTCTTTTTCCAGCCAGACTCCCACCCGTCCAGTCGCTGTCTGCCATACCTGGACAGTGAGGCACCACTCGGCTCACTCCTAGCAGACCTCCATGCAGCAGGGCGCATGGCACACCGCAGGGAGCTTTAGGAGGACTGCAACTCCTACCCTAACTGACAGCCAGCAAAATAAACAAGGTGGAAATGGGCTCCTTCATCCCAGCCTGGTCCAGTGAAGTGAGGCAGCACCAAGACCTCTGCTGTCTCCGTCGGGCCTTTGCTCCTCTCTCACTGTGCTTTGCAGAAAGCGGGATTGGCAAAGGAACCAGTCAAGGCTAAACCCGGATTCCCAACCTACAGCAAGGCTGCCCCAGGCAGCAGGAAGGCTACCAACCATTGGTTTCTGCGGGCAGGACATGCTTGCTTCTCACCTGAACTCTCAGGGTCTCAATGTAATTTGTCCCGTACGCCCGGCGCGTGAAGTCCGATAGGTTGAACTGGATTTGGTTCCAGCCATCGTCCAGCCGCATGGGCATGGTGCAGATGAAGGGCTTCACCCGAGTCATGCTCTGGTAGTTACTTGCCCGGAAACGCCGGCGTACATTCTTATCATCCAGCACCTGGGGCAAGGAAGGAAGGCTGCTGACCCAGGCATCAGGGGCACCCAGCTCCCCAAGACAGCAGCTGTTCTAGACTCAGGCTCTACCCGTCTCTGAGAGAGGGCTCTCCTACTCCCACCCCTCCATTTCACAGCAGAAGTCTTTTTAACACGGGAAACAGACCCATTTTCAGAAATAGCAACAATGTGCTTGGGAGCTGACTGACGCCCCCACAGCGGCAGAAGACCTGACACATCACACAGCCAAGAAAGCAAAACTGTTTTGGGGACCACATGCTGCCTGGGACAAGTTCCAACATACTGCGAGCTCCCTGGCACCTCCCTTACTGGTCCCCGGAGGGGCCTCCCCGCTGTACGCTCCTCACCTGCACTTCAAAAGTGAAGTATTTCTTCAGGTTCTTGATGATCATCACTAGGAAAGGTAGTTTGATGCCCAGGGTCTTTTTTGGGTCAGCAGGGCACGTGATATATGTGGTACTGAGAAGGACAGAAAAATGCTTTAGGATCTCATAGGGCACAAAGCACACAGACAAGTCTCTCCCTGGACCTAACGCAGTCTTGGAGGACAGGCAGAAAAAGATAGCCATGATCCTAAGATCTCAGCAACAACCAGGGCTTCCTGTAACATAAGGGAGAGTTTCAGAGGTAGCTGCAAGGAGAACAAGAAAAAAGGCCCAAAGAATGCATTTCAAATCCCACTTTTCTCACCCAGGGCATGAAACACCTTCACCTCCCCCATTTTAAGGCCATGTTAGCACTGTCTCTTAACACAACCTCCTCTTACCCTTGACTGAACAGGTAGAGCCCTCCAGAGCAGAGCAGAGGCCCTGCGTGCTCTATATGGCTGGGAAAACAGAGGTCATGAGCTCTGGAAGTACACCTCACGCCTGGCAAGTTCTGTATCAACACATCTTGGGAGGAAGAGAAGCGTTGGCTCAGCCTGTCTGCAGGAGAGGAGTCTCCACTGCCCTTATAAGGAGCTCCCTGCTCTGAATCACCCCTGGAGAAGCCTTGGAGACTCTGAACCCGCTCATGGAGCTGGCGTCTCTCTACCCGGTCGATGGGGATGAGGTTGCTAAGTGAAGCACCATAAGCAACTCCCCTCATAAATCTCCCTTTGATCTTCCTGCTGTCGGGAGAGCGGCAGAGCAGGCCTGAGACAACACATGATGCAGAAGGCAGAGTGCTGCTTTCTCAGTCACTGGCAGCACTGACTGAGGATGGGATATCGAATATAGCTTTTTTCCCCCCATGTGATGGAAGAATAACAGGACTTTATTTTTCATCCCCTAGCCCTACTGAGAGCTCTACAAGTCCACGCAGGGAAAGGCATGATACAGTGCCACAGAGGGGTATCAGTGATCTGACCCTAGATCGTATTCTTCAATTTACTGACAAAGAGTCTGAAGGAGTCGCCTGCTGGGCCCTGACATCTTTCACTCTGCTCCAGGGCCAAGCCCCCAGGGTACACTAGGGCAGAAGAAGATGCCTTCTCCTACCTGACATTAGTTCCTTCAATCTCCAGCACCAGCGACTGAATGTCATTGTCGGTGATTCGCTTGATGTGGCCATTGCGCACCTGGAAGAAAAGCGGGGCAGAGCGCACAGACGTTACTTGAGAGGGAAACAAGAGGCAACCACAGCTCCACTGAGAGTGGGGAAAAAGATCCCAGGAGGACCCATCTACATTCACTTGGCTCCTACTGTCCTGCACATCGCTGTTTCCAAGGCTTTGATCACCAACCCAGAGTGCCAGGACTCCAAGCAAGAGTTTATGGGCCAGCATGCTGCACACACACCGACTGCAAGACGTTGATCTATCAAAATATGCTCCAGCAAACACAAGCGACTCAAGCCTCATGTCAGGGGTCCAAATAAACAAACAGAAAAGTGTCAGAGCAAGATCAAACTCAAGTGGGATAAGGGAAAACAAAACAAGTATGAGCAATACAGAGGCAAGGAAAGGGAGCCACCAGCCAGCCACCAGTCACCAAGAGGTCTTGGTCTCTGCTGGGCATGGCTGACTGCCTCTGTGGAAGAGCAGGACCAGATGAGAGTTTGCTTAAAATTCTTCCTAATTACAGCACGCACAAGCACAGAGCCACCCTCTGCTCTGCTGAGTTGCACAGGGATTTGGCTACTCGGATGCAGCCAGCTCCCCACAGAGCTCAGGGAAGCTAGGGCTGGAACCAGGAGCCAACACAAATTCATTTTTCTCCACAAGCAAGGTGGCTGAATCCCAGGGTCTGAGGATTTACTTTTTTAATGAAGCGGCGCACTTCCCATCAAATTTATCTCCATTTAAAAGGCACTTTAGATAATCAAGCCCTCTGCTTTTCCCCAGTGCTAGACCAGCAAATTTCAACACTCCTTCCGGCTCGGGCTGGAACCAGGAGCCAACACAAATTCATTTTTCTCCACAAGCAAGGTGGCTGAATCCCAGGGTCTGAGGATTTACTTTTTTAATGAAGCGGCGCACTTCCCATCAAATTTATCTCCATTTAAAAGGCACTTTAGATAATCAAGCCCTCTGCTTTTCCCCAGTGCTAGACCAGCAAATTTCAACACTCCTTCCGGCTCCATGAATTAATTTCTTTAGCACCTATCACCGCTGCTAATATATAGGATACATTAAGCTTCTAATGGGATGGTTCCAGCCATGAGCTACAAAATGATTTACAGGTTTAGCAATTCATCTTCAAAGTGCACTTCTTCAGAGGGACCTACCTGGGTGATGTTGCATGCATTTGCTGGAAGAAAGAGATAAATGCTGTGAGAAGCCCAGCCCCTGGCTTGTCTCTACACTAAGCAGTTTCAAGAAACCTCAGCCTGGATCACCCAGCTGCTGCTGATAAGCACAGAAGCGCAGCTCGCCCTGCCAGACTGCTCTTCACTGCTTCAAGCCCGCACAGATACTTCCAGAAAACATGAAGCTCAGAGAGAGGATCCTTACAGGATAACTGTATCTCTCCTTTGCATCAAATGCAACTCTCATGGATTTATAGATCTGTTCAGGAGAAATCAGCCTCTCTGTATTTGAAGCAGTGATTGGCGTATGGAAGCCACAGAGATACAGCATGCAGACTTCACCTAGGGAAATAACCCTGCCTAAGCAGGTGACAGTAATGCACAGCAAAGCCTGCCTCCATGCCATGTGAGACAGCTTTCACCAAGGGGCTCCACAGAGGGGAGAACGTTCAGGTCTGGGCTTCTCTGGAGAGGGCAGTAACAGAGAAAACAGCTAAACATGCTTTAAACCAATTAGTCAGCAGTGTTTCTATCTGCAACCAGGTCCCCTTCCTTAGCCTGTGAAGGCTTTCCTTCCCTAGATTACAGGGACAATGAAAAGAAGCAACTCTTCTTCCTCAGCATTGCCAGAAACAGGATGAAGGACAGTAGAAACGAGAGGAGATAAGTACAAAGCAGGGCCAGGCTGCAGCACAGCCCTTCCTCGCAGCCCGGCCTAGCTGGCTGGAAGTTTTTGTGAGCTGCACTCCTGCAGGGAGACAGCGGCCAGGTCGTGGAGTCACCCTTCCACACAAAAGCCAGCCCAGCTCGCCTCACGTGCCCGGAGCCAGCGCCAGCAGGACAGACACAGACATTTGGAGCGTGTCATCCCGCGCTGGCTGGGTGGGTGGGAAGTCCAACCGCCTGGCCGTGTCGCTTAGATAAGGCTGAACAGCATCAGAAGTGCTCACTGCCAACAGGAGGGGGCTCAAAGCGCTGCCCTCCAGGAGCCGGTGGTGCCAAACGCCCCAAGCTCAGCCCCTCGGCTCGCTCCAGAGCCCGCTCCCCCGCCAGAGGCTGAGCTCACCTCCTGCCTGCCTTGGGGACCACCGCCCTGATGGAGGACACCCCTTGGTTACAGCCAGAGGAGCACTTCTCTTCCCTTGCCACCTCCGGGGATCACAGAATCAAAGAATGCTTGGGATTGGAAGGGACCTCAAAAGATCATCTGGTCCAACCTAGTTCACCTACAGTAGGTCACACAGGAAGGCGTCCAGGCAGGTCATGAATGTCTCCAGAGAAGGAGACTCCACACCCTCCCTGGGCAGCCTGTCCCAGGGCTCTGTCACTCTCACAAGTTTTTCCTCATGTTTAAGCAGAACCTCCTATGCTCCAGTTTGCACCCATTGCCCCTTGTCCTACCATTGGGCATCACTGAGAAGAG